GCCAAATTAAAATCTGAAAGCCTTCGAATTGACTGTCAAACCCGAGCATGCATATATACTTAAGTGATTTATTTCGAATAATTAAACTAAGTTTAATGACTGATCAATGATATTGTTATTGAAGGTACATGAGACTCTCACGACCGTTCGACAGCTCAACCCAACTCCTCTCGATCTGTTCAATCTCGTGAGCCAGTAGTTACTCGTATGACCCGTAAACTTTATGATTCCATAGATTAAAAATGTTACTTCGATAGTAACCCAATTTTATTATGAATTAGGTTCGAACATTGCTACAGAGCGTGGTGAAGAATGTGCTTAGTAGACACCTTGACCGACCCCATTTTACAAAGTGTGTTCCTTATGTGCTATATGATGGTTTTAATTGTTCTTGAAATGTGATTTTTTTTTTTAAATTTCTGAATCTTTTATCAACTCAATAACATGATTTACTGATTTGCTGGATTACTGATTATGAACTATGACTGTTTGATATATGTGTTATCTGATTATTTGTTTACATTGGACATATGATTATGCTATTTACGAATCATGGAAATTAGTGTTTACTATGTGAACTATTTTATTGAGATACTATTTTGGGTAGGATACTGGAGTATGGAGGTTCAGTTCTGATCAAGCTGGTAATACCTTATGGGCCTAAGATAACCCTTAGGTAGGCCCCGATAACTTTCTTGGGTAGGCTCTCAAGCCCCAATGTACTCTCTTAGGTTGGCTCCTATACCCAATGGGTATAAGGAAATCCCTTATTGATTCAATTATGCAAGAACTACATTTTGGTGTACAGGAAGATGATATTGATGAGTTTTAAATTCTACTTATCTATGACTTTTAAGACACCTTACTGAAGCACTCTTAATTAGTTTACCTACCATGTTTTATTTGCGTATTGGGACACAATGAGCTCTCTAGCTCACCATTTTTCAAAATGTTTCCCCCCTTTCAGATACTTTTGGATAAGCACCCCTAACCATACACTTAGAGGATCAACACATTCTTACAGAACCTTTTGTTGTAATGTTTCTATCTTCCGAACTGCTTTTATTTCTGGTGACATGTGTCTTTATTTTGATATACTTGTTTTTATGACTTTTACTGCGATATGGATATTTGAAGTATTTTATATAACTCTGTCACTGATGATTTTATATTTACTCGATGAAATTTTTATCTTTTTAACTATACATCCTTTTTGTTAAATAGTGCTTACAATATAGTTTTAAATTATAAAAAATATTCTGGAAATTTTATTGTAATCTGTTAGACCTAGTCGTAACGCATAGACTGAGTCTAAGGGATTACATTTATTTGGTATCAGAGGTTTTGATTTTTAAACCTCAGATTATGAATGAGTCCTAAATAAATAAAAACACTATTTTGAAAACATTTTACAACTTCTTATAAGGTCATGTCACCCCCCCTTTACAAGTTTAAATATGTTAGGTACTTCGGGTACCTAATTTGACCCTAAGTTTAAACTCTTGTGTAGTGAGCCCTGAGATCCTTCTGTATGAGTGTTAGACGTGGTCGTCAGCCTAGCCGCGGGTAAGGTCAAGCTGCTAGGATCATTGACCCGATCGACGATCCAATGGTGGATCCGCCGTTCGCCCTTGGTATAGATATGACGACACCTGTCAGGGGTAGACAATAGAGCCAGATACCAATAGAATAGAGGGTCGGTAACATTAGAGGCCAGACAGCCAACTCCGGTGTATACCACCAGACGTCGGGATGACAGAGACGAGCCAAAGGTTATTGCAGGTACATTTACTATTTATTATGTTCCGTATTTTGCATTACTAGACAATGACTCCACCCACTCCTATGTTTCGAGTTCAGTATCCCGAGACCTTCAAATTTCGATAGAGAACACCGAGCGTATTGTTACAGTGATGACTCCAGTAAGATAGTCAGTGGTTGTGAATATGGTATTCTGGCATTGTTCTTTGGAGGTTCAAGGTGAAATATTCTTTGTCGACCTTATGGAGCTTCCTTTAGAGGAGTTTAATTTTATTCTGGGGATGGATTGGTTGAATGACCATCGGGTCAATCTGGATTGTGAGTACAAGAGAGCTACTGTGAAGACTTCTGATGGACAGACTATTGTGCTAGTTGGTGAGTGACGAGGCTATCTTTTTAATATAGTATCAGTGTTGGCTGTTGACCGTATGATCCGAAAGGGTTATAAGATATTCATTACCTGTATCTTAAATATTAAAAGCTCTTTGTCCAAGATTGAGGAGATTCGTACATTTAGCAAATTTCCCAATGTTTTTCCTGAGGAGTTGCCATGATTACCTCCGAATAGAGAGGTAGAGTTCGAGATTGAAACTTATCCTGGTTCTACACATGTTTCTATGGCACCATATCGTATGGCCCCAAAGGAACTTAAGAAGTTGAAGGTCCAGTTGCAGGAATTACTTAATCAAGGTTTCATCAGACATAGTACCTCACCTTGGGGAGCTCTGGTCCTGTTCGTGAAAAAAAGATGGATCGCTTGGGCTATGCATTAATTATCGAAAGTTGAAAAAGTTGAAAGTTAAGAATAATTACCCACTACCCAGGACTGATGACTTATTTGATCAATTGCGACACTCTACTGTATTTTCTAAGATTGATATTCGCTCGGGGTACTATCAGTTGAAGGTTAAGGGGTCAAATGTTTTGAAGACTGTCATCCGCACTAGATATGGGCATTATGAGTTCCTGGTGATGCCATTTGATCTAACAAATGATCCCGCAGCTTTTATGGATCTAATGAACCGTGTGTTCCGGTCCTATTTAGATCAGTTCGTAGTGGTTTTTATTGATGATATTCTGGTCTATTCCCGAACTAAGGCAGAGCATGATGAGTATTTGAAGATTGTAGACACTCGTTTTTTGCCTGAGTTTTAATTTACTATTATTATTATTATTATAATTTATATTTTTTGTAGGCCCAAAATCGAGGCCCAAATTATAATCGACCCAATACTACAAACAACACCAAGTCCAATGGAGATCCAGACCCAACGCAATGGTTTCAGCCCAGTAAGGAGCCCACTCGTGTGGCCCAAACCCAATTATGGTTTTACCCTTTTTGCTTCAGCCACCTCATGCCATAACCGTTGGATCAAATTTGATCCAACGGTCTAAGTTGACCCAGATTAGGGTTTTGACATAACCCTTAAGATACTAGAAGCAAGCCACTGTCGACTGAAGATGAACCATCCGTCATCGGAGCGAGTGGTACACACGCCCGACCTTTTGCCTCCTCGTCGCATGAGCCGCTTCCGATGAGTTCCCGAGCTACCTTCTCTAGTAAGAGAGCCAAAACAGTAACAAAAAAAACCCTTTCAGTCAACTATCAACCCTAATCCAAACCCATTTAAAAAATATCAAAATCCCACCAAATCTGGGATATTAACTAATTAAATCATTCCCATATAGAAAGACTTCATGATTTTATCTGAGAAATCAACCATAAATCAAGAAAAAGGGAAGCATTTTAGGGGGTGATTCGAACAACATCAACAGAGATCAACGAAAAAAAAAGGAAAGCCTTTTTAAAACAAAAAAAAAAGAAGAGAAAAAAGTTTACCCTTAACAAGATCCGACCACCGCTGCTTCATCGGAGACAAAGCTTACCCCCATAACCGAAGGTAATGACCTTACTCTTATCTAGGTTTTGGGGGGCTCATTATGGTGTTTGAGATGTAGAAAGAACCATTTTTTAGGAGTTGCTTTGGGATTTAGAGTTAAAAAGGTGGAGGGGTCGAGGTAGAAGAAAAGAGAGTTCTTTGGTTCGTTTTTTCTCCCTAGAGCCATCGATTTAAGGCGTCAGGGGGTGGCTTTTGGCCTTCACAGCCGGAGTGAAGAGAAAAGAGAGAAAATGAGATTTCTAGGGTTCATATTTTAGGTGCCTAAAAAATTATAACCCAAGGGGAATTTTAGGCCATTTTTTATCGTGATCTTTAAGATATATTTCAAAAATCATACGACATCGTTTGAAAAGGGGAGGGCATTAATGCTTCAGCGCATGGTTATTTGCAAGAGAGGTCCTCTATGGTTTGTAATCTTTCTATTTTGGTCATCAATGAAACTTTTACCTTCTTTTATTTTGAGCTTACGAATTGTTGAGAATTTTAATTTCATCCTCATTTGTTTATGTGTATATTTATGTTTATATTCAAGTTTTAGCCATCTTACTTTAATTTGTTCATGTTTAGGTATTGTATTTTTTTTATTAATTCACTTTAGTCACCTTTTTCACATTGTTTTGCTTTTGGTCCAGTTTATGATATTTTATTTTATTTTAATCTTGAACATTGTTTTGTGGTTTATTTTCCTTTCTAGTATATCTATTGTTCGGTAAGTTCGATTGTTGCCCCGATTTGTTGTTGATTTTTCTATTTAGAATTACAAGTTATTGTTAATACCATTTAGCCCTTTTAATCACTATATATGTTCAATTACTTTTGATTGTATTCTGGTTTTAGGATTCCATATTTTCCTTTTTAGTCCTATACATATATATACACATACTTATATTACGGGTACTACATTATATATATATATATACAATATTATGGTTTTATATATATTTTGTATGTAATAATGTATTTTATATTTTGTATTACATGCACGTGTTATATATATATATTATGTATTTTATATTACGTGTTTTATATAATGTAATAATGTATGTAAACGTTGTTCTTTAACATTTAAACATTTTGTTTTGTGGTAGACGTACGGGTAATATCCTAATTTACAATATTTGCAATATTGTTTGTTGTAGTAACTTGTTGCTTTTCTTTGGATATATTAAAATCTATTTATAAAAAAAAGGTAAGCGATGTAGATGGCAGAAAATCAACTTTGGTTGAGTGTTAATTATGTGCTTATAATGGTAGATTGTAATTATAACTGTCACACTTATTGAAATTAATTAATACAGTTCCATGCTTGTAACTATTGGTATAGTTCGTAATGATCTACACTTTGTCACATATTATTCCTTAAACTCCGCTATCGAGTGTGTGACGTCTAGAAAGATGAACGAGGCACAGGTACAACACAAAGTGGGTTCTTCCTGGTGATCGTAAGGCCGTAGAGCTCGGTCATGTCAAAATTCTCCGCAGTTTCACCAGCAGGCAACTTCCAATCGAACCAATAAAGAAGGTTCGCTATCACATACTCAACAGACGCAACTCCGAATAACATCCCCGGACATGCTCTTCTTCCGAAACCGAATGGGATGTAGTGAAAATCCTGACCCTGAAAATCGATGGGATTGTTCTCGAATCTCTCCGGGGTGAACTCTTCCGGTCTTTCCCACCGTTCGGGGTCTCGATGAATGGCCCATGAGTTCACCATGACGTTGGTACCCGACGGGATGTCGTAGCCTCCCAATTTAACGGGTGCCGATAATTTTCGAATGATGTTAGGCGGATGTAATCTTAGAGTTTCTTTGATCACACACTTTAAGTATTCCATTTTGTTGATGTCCTCTGGGTCTACCTTAGATTTGTTTCCCACGACGGTTCTTACCTCTATTTGGACCTTCTTCATAGCATTTTCGTTCTTTAGAAGTTCGGTCATTGCCCATTCATCTGTCGTTATGGTGGTATCGGTTCCTGCTACGAACAGATCCTGAGATTATCAAAATTAAACACTTAGAAATGTTAAAAATATTCAAATTTAAATCCCACAGGATTGATGGTATTACGTGTCTTCGACATGTGCCGTACATCACAAAAATTTATGAGAAATCGAAATTTAAAATTGAATAACTAACCATTAAGATTGCTTTGATGTTGTCCTGAGTGAGGTCCATCTCCAACATGCCATCCTTTTGGAGCTGCATAATGATGGAGACGAAGTCTTTTTTACTGGTAACTTGTTCATGATTTTCAAGAGCTCGATGCTCCTCGATTACTTCATCGAGGAACTCATCGAGCTCTTTTGATAACGATTTCATCCTTGGAATATATCCGGTGAGGACATCGAGCCACCACAAGTAAGGAAATATATCGCCGATACAGAAAGTGTTAATGATCAGATTCATTATATTTTTAGCCAAATGTCCGAACCGGCTGCACCCGTCTTCGTTTTCGCTCTCGTGACTAAGAACACACCGAGACACGATGTTACTCGAAACCGACGTAAGCATGTCGCTCAGTACAACCGTCTCTCCTCGTTGACAAGCACGACGGATCTTGTCGACGAGGTGATCGACTTCCTCATCTCTTACGAACTGAAACGAATGCACTCTCCGGTTGCTGAGGAGCTCGACAACGCTCATCTTCTTAACCTGCCGCCAGAACTCGCCGTAGGGAGAAAACCCGAGACCTTTTGCATCGTAGAACATTTCTTTCACCGCCGTCGTCTTTGGCTTGTCGGAGAAGGCGATGTCGTGGTTTTTTACGATCTCTCTAACCATTTCAGCCGATGAAACCACTAGCGTTGGGTTAGAACCCAATTGTAGAAGCAAAAGGGAGCCGTAGTTTCTGGAGAGTTGCCGGAAAGAGCGGTGGGGGAGTTTGCCGAGTTGATGGATGTTTCCGATGATCGGAAGCTTTGGCGGCGACGGAGGCAGATGAAGAGGTCGGCGTTTCGCTAGTTTTAGCAAAATTAAAAGGGAGAAAATGAAGATTAGAGGTAGAAGAAACAATGGATCCATTTTTGCGGAATCGGATGATCATTAATCTTCACTACTTTGCCTTCTTTTATAATATTAAATTATGATAGTGACGAATTTTTACGATTTTTAAAATCAACGAATTAAAATAATTGTATTATAATAATTTCAAGTAATATCATAATTTTAAAAAATGGCAAAAAGTATTAGAGATCCCTGTATTTTAAAAAAAATTATTGTGGTCCTAGTATTTTTTTTCTTAATGTGGTCCTCTAATTCATAAAACAAACTCAATGTGGACCTTTGACTAACATTTTTCGTCGTTGACCATTACAGTACTGACGTAACAGTCCACGGTGCTGATTTGGCAGTTCATCTGTCATGTTTGAACTACCAATTTAGTCAATCTATTATTTCATCCGTCACGTTAATTTACCACCTTGGAAACTCATATCAACACTGTGAAATACCATGTCAGCATCGTTTATAAGCGCATTTATAAACTCGTTTATGAGCTTGTTTATATGTCTGTTTATCGATTTTTTTTCGTTTATAAGTTTATTTATCGACTTGTTAATTTAAGTTCAAGAACAAGTTAATTTATAAACTCGTTTACTTTTTATTTTTATTTTTTACATTTTAAACATTTGATTTTCAACCCAATTGAAGTTTCATTTGCATTTCTTTTCAACAAAAACAATGACATTAGCTTTGAAATCCAATTCAATACAAACCAATTTCTTTAATACTTTTCAACAGGCAAATCATACATCACCTGATCAACATCAAATCAGGCATCAACGGATTAATTTATAACTTCTAATAATTGAAGGACTTTAACAAAGTGATATCCTAGAGAGATCATTCGTGTACTTTACCCTAATTTTTATTTATGTTTAAATAACATATTTATAATTTTATTTTTGAATGATTAGAGTTAAAGTCTATACATATGCATCATTATCGTTGTTCAGTTTAGTTCATGTTCGTGTTAATACGTAACACAGATATTTTAAATAAAATTTAAATTTAATTATAAAAATTTGGGACAAGTCTAAAATATCGAACTTCATCATCAATTTTGAAAAATTATATCCAAAAATAAGATCGATGTCAAACTTGACGAAAAAGAAAAGATATTGAATTCAAAGCCCCAATATTGACTTAGTTGAACTTTGATAAATAGCACCTTACTTGTAATTTTCATCCACTCTACGTCAAAGCACTAAATTCAATGTCTTGCTTTTTTTAAGGGTAATTACATGTTTTTTATCTAAACTATAAGTTTCGGCACATTTTAATACCTGAACTTTTAATTTTTTTAAAATCATATCTAAATTTTAGTTTTTACTTCATTTTAATACCGCTATTAAAAATTTTAGTTTTTTTTTTCATTTTAGTATCATCGTTCAAAATTTAACGTTAAGTTTTGTAAAAAAAGTGAAAAGTTTAGGTATTAAAACAGACCAAAACTGATAGTCTAGGTGTCGAATGTGTTAAGTTTTTAACGGTGAGGTACTAAAATGAAATGAAAACTAAACTCTAGGAATGATTTTGGAAAAATTAAAAATTTAGATACTAAAACAAACTAAAACTAATTGTTTAGATATTAAAACGCATTTATCTTATTATTGGTCTTTAAGGCTTCAAAAAATTATCCAATAATAATAAATGTCTATTAATACTTTACAAATAGATAAATTAAACAAGAAAAAAATAATTATAAATAATTATTACTTTATAATCACTTTAAATTATAAATAGATAAATTAAAAATAAAAAAATAAAATATTATAAATAGATATTCACTTTAAAATATTTAAAAATAAATAAAGACATAAATAACAATGTTGTTATTTTGGGCATGAAATTTCATATTTTAGATCAAGTAGGATGAGCAAAACCCGACTTACTTAAAAAAATTAAACTTTTTTTTAGTTATTCGATTTAACTCAAATTATTGAGTTGGTTTTGAGTTCGATTCGAGTTAAAATTTAAAATTTTCAAGTCACTTGAGAAATTGTAATTTTGGCCGAGTATTTTGATAATTTTACAATTTAATCTATGATTTTTTTATTCCTTCAATTTCTCCATTTTAACTATACTTTTTACTAAATTCGAACCACGTGATCTTAAACCATTATAGAATACCGATTTACTTTTAATTTATCTTTTTGATAATAAGTTTTCTATTTTTTAATTAATCCCTAAACTTTGCATGATTTTCATATTTCTTCAATTTTTTGACTAAATTTGAATCACATGCTCCCATACCATTATAAAATACATATGTAACTTCAATTTCTACTTTTTAAACTAAAAATGTACTCTTTTTATAAATTTAGTCCTTTAACTTTACATTTTACTCAATTTGATCATTTGAATGCAATTATTTGTATTTTTCTTTCCATCAATTTCTTTAACTCTTTATACTCTCATTAATACTTGACCCTCAAAATACCTTTGAAATATAATACTGTAAATATATTTTATAATTTTTTTTATTTGGTATATTATATAATATTATAATGTAAATGAAATATGAAGATATATATATGGTTAAAGAAAGTCAAAAATTGGAATAAATCCGTATCATACACTATAAATAATTGCAATTAAATTTGTATAAAAACTCAAATAACTTTACTTAAATCATAATTTCATAAACTTGACTCGAAAATATTAAATTAAGTTTTAATCATAAAGTACAATTCATCAACTTAAATAATTCAAATTTTTTTACGACTCGATCGAATACTACCCTAACAACAAACATAAACAAATCCTTAGCCCAGAGCCCACGATTTGGTAGGCCAATTATAGGCTGCAAATATAAATCAATTTCCATTGGAATGCAAGTGGGCCTCTAATTAATTTCTGTTATTTTATTTCTTATTTAATTATTTTTTATTATTACTTCTACAAATATTTTAATTTCTTATTTAATTATTTTTTATTATTACTTCTACAAATATTTTAATTTCATTTATTTCAAAAAAAAATGTGCATATGAATTTTTCTCAAAACAATGTTATTTTTTTATGATAATTAATGAGTGGTGTCCAAAGTAAAATTACATTGTAGTCATTTTAATTTCATAATAAAATGGTTTTCTTTTTTTTTAAATGAAAGTTAATGCAAATATTTACATTTGAAATATTTTCACTATTTTAATTAAATTTGAATCCAAATTCTAATTTAAGAGATTATAGATTAAATTTAAAATTGTATTTATAACTCTTAAAAATCGAGACGATGTATAATTTTAACAATGTCAATTTTTAGACGTTGTGAGATGTTTTAACTTTCATTCCACGTAAATTCTGCAGACATAACTATGTCATTTTAAGACCACAAAAGATTTACAAATATCTAGATTGTCAAGATCTGTCACTGATAATCACTGAAATAGTAAAGTATGTTTGGAGTTGAAATTAATTTTGTATGAATTATCAAATTACGTTGTTCGGATTATTCATTTTTCTTATAGTGTTTATATTTAATCCTCTAATTTAGAAAAAAAAATGGATGTTCTCATTTCGAATTTATACTTAATTTAAGGTTCACATCCGAATTCGAATAACATAGTTAAATTATTAAATGTAAAAGGTCTATGTAAATTCAAAAGCATTTTAATGGCTAAGGTATGCATTTAAATGTTTTAATTATGATTAATTTTCTAAATCAAACTACCTAACCCATATTTTATTTATTTGTCTGTCAGATATCTTAACATGGATATAAAGAAGAGTTAATTGCATCACATATCCTCCAAATATGCCCCTTATTTTAAAATCACTCCTTAATTTTTTAAATATTCTAATTTCATCCCTAAATTGTGACTATCATTCTAAATTAATCATCAAACTTTTGAACATTTCAATTTCATCCTCAGACTACGACTTTCATTCTAAATTGGTCCCCAAAATTTTTGAACCAATTTCATCCCAACCTATATACTAATCATGCTCCTGTTAATAAAATCTTTAGGTCAAGTTATTATATATTTGAAAAACAAATTTATATTAAATTATGGTTGAAACTAATTACATATTTGCATGAATTTGGGGATAAAATTAGAATATTCAAAAGTTTAGGGACCAATGTAGAAAGAGAGCCATAGTTTAGGGATGAAATTAGAATATTCAAAAGTTTAATGACTAGTTTTGAATGAGAGTCATAGTTTGGAAATGACATTGGAATATTCAAAAGTTTAAGGATCAATTTAAAATGAAAGTTATAGTTTGAGAACATATGATGCAATTAACTCTAAAAAGATATAAAGTAGTATATATTCAAAATTTCTTTTATCTATTAATAATATATATAAACTCTGTAGAGACATCTGATCGGACTCGAAACATTTCCATGATTGTACACAAGGACTAAAAACCTACTTAAGCGATATCTAATTATATGTTTTTCTTTATTTATCTTTCAAAATTGAAAATTTATATTTTAGTTAGTAGTATATTTATTATCTGAGTGATACTGTTAAAACACATTATTTTCATGATTAAAAATTAAGTATGCAATTTGTAAAAAAATATAATTAGATGTTAATTTTAAATATTTATTTATTTAGAATACAAATTATAAAATAAATTTCAAAAAACATATTTTAGTTTCAAATTTTAAATTACCTTTTTTGGTGCTTTTTTCCTCATCATTGTCCTTCATGTGCATGCATTATTTTAGGATATGCTTTAACTTTTAGGCCAAATTGCCCTTTCAATAAACATTTCCATGTTTTTTATTATCTGAGTGATACTGTTAAAACACATTTTCATGATTAAAAATTAAGTATGCAATTTGTAAAAAAATATAATTAGATGTTAATTTTAAATATTTATTTATTTAGAATAAAAATTATAAAATATTGAATTTTGTTGACATGACATTCACGTCATTTCTTTATTCCGTATTTTATTTTATCTTCTTCATCCAAAGATGGCACTGCAATTATTATTCTCCGACGTCTTCTTTAGCCATTCAAGATATCGATGAACTCATTTTATCATCTCATATTACTCCATCTATTT